AGAATGCAAGTGCATATTTCAAAACAAATGCCAAGTGTGTGATCGGGGTACGTAGACCCTCGATGTATAGCACAACCAAACTTCAATTACGTCAAAGAATGGTCACGGGATGGCAAAGAGCTAGCTGTTGGAAATACCGTTGAGGAGAAAAAGGAAATACGGAATAAGAAAATAAGGGAGGCGGCCCTTGAGACAGCGATGCACATAGCCCTAGCTTTAAATACCTTTAAAATAACCAAGTTATATGGCTACCATACAACTTCGAGTCCAACTATATACTTAAAACTTTAACAATAAACATTGTTTTGTTCGATGCAAAAGAGCTTATCGGTTTCTATGATTAAATTCATGCAGCCGCCACTGGATTTGTATAGGCGTCGATGTCGGGATGGGCATGGCGTGGGTCTTTGATTCAATAGATAAGGACTCGGCGACATACAAAGACTTTATATCGATTCTCAAGACGTATACATATCGACAATCGTCTTATATACCATGTAACGTTCACTTTTGGATATTAACAAGTTGTATTTGTTAAATTCATTCGAACAGGGCATACATGTACTATGTTCAGACTCACAAAGGGACGCATGATCCAGAAAGGAAGCATAACCTGTGTGTCAAAATACTATATGCGGTAAGTGTAACTTACTTAAGTACTCTATTACGTTGCTGTCAAAAGCATTACTTAACATTTTTATATGCGAAACACACAATGCCCCAAGCAGAAGCCTGGGAGTTTACATTGTGGATACTACGTATGCAGTATGATGAGTAACACCACTACCTACAGGAGACACCCCTGTAGGATAAGTTTGAACCTCTTCAACCTCTTTATATGCTCACTGTGTTTAGATATGCTCGTTGTTTTCATATATGCCCACTGTCTTTCGATATGCCCTCTGTTTTTTATATGCCTAAACTTGTTTTCTTGTAGTGGCAAGATGACAAAGGTGTGAGAAATGATCCACACAAAGATGACAACCTCTTGGAGTTCATCGGCGACCTTTGTAACTTCATAATGGACTAGATTGTACACGTCAGAGGCATTTACCATGACCGAGCGACCGAATGAGGTAGGAATCCTCAGTACCAACATCTTCATGAGTGGGAAAGGCTAGGCTTAGGACGTTGATTGGACTTGTAAATGGAATGTGACATTGGTAATGTTATCGGACTTGTGGAACGGTCCGACTTATGGATTATGTGAATGTAATGATGAATTATATTTGTTCTTGTGATTTGGACTTGTAGTCTTATTGGATATAATGTTCTTGTGCATTATATATGTATATATATATATCTTCTTGTGAATTAGTTGTTGATATAATGGCCTTGTGAATCATATATGTATATATGTTCCGGTCATATTTGAATTTATAAATCTGAATTTTTTAGCCGAAAAAGGTACTGTAGGGGCGGTTCTATATTTGATCGCCCCTACAAATAGAAACTATAGGAGTGGTTGGTGTCACAAAATTACCCTACAAATCTAAATTGTAGAGACGGCTAGTGTTATCAGCCACCCTTGTAAATCCTTTTGTAGCGGCGGCTCGTAACACCAGTCGCCCCAACAAATCGATTTGCAGGGGCAGCTTGGGAACCGTCCCTACAAATCAATGATTTGTAGACACGGTTGCTTAGGGCGGCTAGGGAAACCATCCCTACAAACCATTTCTAGCCGCCCCTACAAATCCTGACGGTAGTAGTGAGGCCGACTCCTGGAACGCCGCAGATTTCGAAGTTCTGGCACCATTGTCATGGGCGGCCGCTTAGTCAGTCGGCTCCCGGCTCCCCACTTAGTCGCAAGAGCGCTTCTCGCTTAGTACAACCATCTAGCACCATTGTTGAAGCCGGAGATTTGTGTCTGTGTTCAACCCGTTGTATGCCAACGCAACTTGCTGCCGCCGTGCCCTTCGGTCGTCGTATATCTATTTTTCTAACTTCCTTAATGAAACACGTACTAAGCACGCTTTCCAAAAAAAAAGTTTGCATCTTTGGCTTTGTAAAATTTTGATATATGCATGTCTGTAGGTCAAATGAAAGGTAGATGGGAGAAATTTCTTCATGAATTTGATCTGAAAATTCTTTTATGTTTCCAAGATCGAACGACGATATCTTTCATATGTCAGTGCTCTGAACTAATGGGCAAAACAGTAATTTCATATGGGATTCAACTCTTTTTAAATTGTTTTTATGTTGTAGAGAGGATTGATTAATTTGTATACTGCATTCATGTTCCCGTGTCGATCATCGACATCACATCATCTCACGCTCACTACTACAAAGCAGAAATTTTAGGGGCAGCTGGTGACCCTCTTAATGGGTGGTTTTGCCACCATCCCAAACGAAGGGTGGCTACAAATGCCAGATTTGTAGGGCGGTCTGCCCTACAAATCGGTTTTTTAGGTGCGGTTGAATATTTGTAGGGGCGGATGTCTACATTCACTACTACAGCAGGAATTTTTACGGGCGGCTGGTGACCCTCCGTATGGGTGGTTTTGCCAACCATCCCGAACGAAGGGTGGCTACAAATGCAAGATTTGTAGGGGCGGTCTGCCCCTACAAATCGGTTTTTTAGGTGCGGTTGAATATTTGTAGGGGCTGCTGGATATTGAGCCACCCCTACAAATTATTTTTTAGAAATTCATGAATCGGGGCGAAAAAATATGAATTTTTTGAGTCGCGCATTTTGTAAAATCAGGCTCTATGCGGCTGTGGGGTTCGAACCCATGACGTCGGGCTCGCGCATAAATTAACTGTTTGAAGCCTTAAATGAAATCAAATGGAAAAATTGTTAACTACAAAGTTTTCTAACTTTTTGAGATCTCCAACTTTCATTTTCATAGTTTCTCCATTCGAGGTCGTTTACAAAATTTAAATTTCAAATTTGAGAAATTCAAACATAGTTTTCCATGACAAGATAATTTCAAATGAAAAAGTTGTCAACTACAAAGTTTCATAACTTTTTGAGATCTACAACTTTTATTTTTTCTGTTTGTCGATTCGAGGTCGTTTAAAAAATTTAAATTTCAAATTTATGCAAATTCAAACATAGTTTTCCTTAACAAGATGATTCCAAATCAAAACGTTGTCAACTACAAAGTTTCATAACTTTTTGGGATCTAAAACTTTTATTTTGGTAGTTTCTCCATCCGAGGTCGGTTACAAAATTTGAATTTCAAATTTGAGAAATTCAAACGAAGTTTTCCTTGACAAGATGATTTTAAATCAAAAAGTTATCAACTACAAAGTTTCATAAATTTCTGAGATCTACAACTTTTATATTGGCCATTTATTCATCCGACATAGTGGTAGTAACATTGTTCAATGCAACGTTACTACCACTATGTCGGATGAATAAATGACCAAAATAAAAGTTATAAATTTTGATGAGTTCTATAACTTTTATGTTCATGACTTTTTCAGCTAAAATCATTTAGCGTTCCAAAATAACGTTTGAAGTTGGCATTTTTTGAAATTCAAAATTCAAATAGATAAAACACGGTCACATGAAAAGATGGATAAAATAATAGCTGTAAGAACACAATAAGTTGATAGAGCACGATTTTAGAAATTTTTACGGAAAAAATCATCAAATTTGAAGTTAGTATGAGGAAGAAAGACTACTTACAAGTTTTAGCCACAGATCAAAAAGAGAAATCAGAGTTCTTCAACAATTTTAAAATTAAATTTCAAACAACATTTTGACATAGTAAATGATTTTAAATGAAAAAGTTGTAAACAACAAAGTTCCATAACTTTTCGAGATCTATAACTTTTATTTTGGTTATTTCTCCATCCGAGATCGTTTAAAAAAATTCAAATTTTTGTGCTTAATTTTTATTATTCGACGTCTATTTGTAGGGACGGCTCAATATTAAGCCGCCCTTACAACTCCGATTTGTATGGACGGCTAGTTACCAATCGGGTCATTTATAGGGGCGACTCATAATACCAGCAGCCCCTACAAATGAATTTGTAGAGACGGCTCATTTGACCACCATTTGTAGGGGCGGCTCAACACCAAAAAAAAAGATGGCGTTGCTACAAATCGTTTTTGTAGTAGTGATTAAATATGCACCCTATGTTGGAGGGCGATAATCGCGAAATGGTTGGTTTCATTCTTTGATATATAGCATCAGAGCCCCTAAAAAAAGGTAGCGTTGCTACAAATCGTTTTTTAGTAGTGATTAAATATGCACCCTATGTTGGAGGGGGATAATCGCGAATGGTTGATTTGATTCTTTGATGTATAGCATCAATTAGACGGATCACTCCACCGAATTATTGTACCGTAGCAATGCACGGCCGTTCATCTAGTTCAAACAAAGCAAATGACTGGAATAAAAGAAAATCTCTGAACATCTGATGAGCTACAGCCTACAGCACGCAATACTCAAGATGTGTAACAGTTGTGTGTCAGCTGGTCTCGTCGCCAACGGATCAGAATCAGATATCAATATCACAAATAAACGCTTAAAAACGAAATATATATGTAGCGCGCGAGCACCAGGGGATACATTGCAGGCACGTCTACCATTTTGTTTTATGTGTGGCACCTGGTCTGATGGTGTGAAGCTGTCCAGCGGTGCCAACAGCTAGCTGGAAGTAAAGCAAATCAGAAAAAGGATCATCAGAAGAAGTGAAAGGGGAAAAAAAGGAAAACAGATCTGTATATATACTAGTAATCCACGTGCGAAGAATCATCAGAAAAGATACACAATAGAAGCGGAAGGAAAAAGAAAGAAACAAGAAGTATTATCCTAGCAGTAATCCACATGCGTGCGATGCATGCCCCGGCCACTCATCACGTCGTTGTCCGCGGAATACACTTGTACTGGTATAAATAGAGCGCAGCTCCTGCTTCTCCAAACCACGAAGACGCACGCAACCATATCTATCCCTAGCTAGCAGCTCTCTCAGCTAAAACCTAGCTAGAGCTCAGCATCCCCGAGAGCTAGCTACCAGCTGCTACGTAGGTGTCGTCGTCGACGTCCATGGGGTCCATGGGGAGGGCACTACCGGCCACCGTCGACGAGATCAGGCGTGCGCAGCGCGCGGATGGTCCGGCCACCGTGCTCGGCATCGGCACGGCGAACCCGCCGACGTGCATGGCCCAGGACGACTACCCCGACTACTACTTCCGCGTCACCAACAGCGAGCACCTCACCGACCTCAAGGCCAAGCTCACCAGGATCTGCAACAACAAGAAGTCCGGCATCAGGCAGCGCTACTTGCACCTCGACGAGGAGCTGCTGGCCGCCAACCCGGACTTCATCGACCGCACGCGGTCGTCGCTGGACGCGCGCGTGGAGATGGCCTCCGCCGCCGTCCCGGAGCTGGCCGCGGCCGCGGCCGCCAAGGCCATCGCGGAGTGGGGCCGCCCGGCCACCGACATCACCCACCTCGTCTTCAGCACCTACCCGGCGCGCGCGCCCCGAGCGCCGACCGCCGCCTCGCCTCCCTGCTGGGCCTCCGCCCCACGGTGTCCCGCACCATCCTCAACCTCCACGGCTGCTACGGCGGGGGCGGTCGCTCCAGCTCGCCAAGGAGCTCGCGGAGAACAACCGCGGCGCGCGCGTCCTCGTCGCCTGCTCCGAGATCACGCTCATCGCCTTCTACGGGCCCGAGGGAGGCTGCGTCGACAACATCATCGGCCAGACCCTGTTCGGCGACGGTGCCGGCGCCGTCATCGTCGGCGCCGACCCCGTCGCCCCTGTCGAGCGCCCGCTGTTCGAGATGGCGTTCGCGTCGCAGACCACGATACCGGAGACCGAGGACGCCATCTCCATGCAGATCAGCAAATGCGGCATGGAGTACCACCTCTCCAGCCAGGTGCCCCGCCTGCTGGGGTGCAACGTGGAACGCTGCCTTGTCGACGCGTTCCGCACGCTCGGCATCAGCGCAGCATGGAATGACCTTTTTTGGGCGATCCATCCCGGCGGTCGTGCCATCCTGGACAACATCGATGAAGTGCTCGGTCTGGAGGACGGGAAACTGGCGGCGAGTCGCCGCGTGCTCAGTGAGTTTGGCAACATGAGTGGCACCACGGTGATTTTCGTGCTCGATGAGTTGCGCCGCCGTCGGGCAGCGGCGGCCAAGCAGGGAGGGGAAACGCCGGAGTGGGGAGTCATGATGGCTTTTGGACCTGGAATCACAATCGAGACCATGGTGCTCCACGCCCCTAGCAACCTGAACCTGGAGGGAAATTAACAATTCAAACATCCACCAAAAGGACTATATATATACTTCTACGCGGAGTATAAAATATGTTATAAACCTGGTATAGAGGTTGCCCAAGCTAAATAAGGTCCATATAGCCAATTCATGGACCATAAGGTGGAGTGTTAAATTTGTTCACTAATTATCAGCGTGATATATATATTGTTGTGTTAATTGTATTATGTATACTTTTATATACCTATATAATAATATTAAAAAGAAAAAAATGGTTCATCATCACTTTGTCCCTCATTCGTCCATTTCGCACTCCCGCCATTTTTTTTTTGTATCCCTTGACCCGATCCCTCTTGTTGATAGATAAAACCTTTGTTGGCGCCGCACCACTCTTGTGGTGGATAAGTCGGTCGAGCTCGTATGCATCACGATTCCTCACAGCTCGACGTGCGAGGTGGTTCACTTTCTACCTATCTGAATCGTGTGCACACAATAGCCACGTATTTAAGGCGAGTCGATTTTTTTATCAATTTCTCATACAAGATTAATCCTTATTTCACTTAGCATTTGTTATAGGCATTGGATTTATTTGATTTAATGGAAATATGGTTGGACCAAGTCCAATTAAATTCAACAAATATAGCTAGCTGTTCAAAATTGACTTAGACGGACCCATACGGCCACACGACAAGTTATACATCTAAGGCATGTACATATTTGCTAGCCTAATTAAAAGGAGAAATTTTCTTCCTCCACTTTTCGGTCTGTCACTCTCTCTCCTATCCATCTCTCTATAAGAATCCTAGCAGTATGTGATGAATATATAAGAGATAATAAAAGTCCTACTAGGTTTACAGTCCCGTCTGTGGTCCCATGTTCTTGATTGCTAACTCAAACCGCCAAGGTAATTATACATTTCCTTGAGTGCGTTGTTGGGGGATTTAACTTCGCCAGGAAAACCCAGCCCCTGAAACTTTGGAGTTGAAATTATGATTTCTATAACAAACTTTACTTGCAGGAAAAAGTAGTAAAGCGAAGGTGGAAATTTGACTTCGTCAGAAAGATTCTGTCTTCACGGAAAGGATCTCGTCTTCGCTGGTGAAAAGAAGAAAGCAAGATTAGACGAAGACAAAAGTTTGACTTCGCCTAACATTCTGAGAGAAGAAGATTGTAAGGAAAATGGACCATTGGCCCATTTACTTTGGATTTTGGTGTTTGATGACCAACACAACCGAATTGGACTAATGAATTTGCAAGTGTTTGTTTTGTAGTCCAAACAGGTGCAAGACGTGACTTGGACGAAGGCGACGTGATGATATGATGATCAACACCTCAAGCAAGACCTTAGAAGCACAAGAAAAGACCCAAGATGTCAAGCAAAGTCCAAGCATGAAGATAGGAACCAAGCCGTGCGCAAGATCACGAAGAAACGAGCTCGCAGAGGCGACCGGACGCTGGACCGGACGCTGGAAGCGCGACCGGACGCTGGACCGGTGGCTCGGCAGATAGGCGACTGGACGCAAGGATCGGACGCTGGTGGAAACCGACCGAACGCAGGAACGCAGCGTCCGATCGAGTACAGAGAGGTTCTAGGCACGTGAAACTACGACCGGACGCGTCCGGTGGCAGGCGACCGGACGCTGGCAGCGTCCGATCGGTAGTTCGCGGTTGCAACGGTCGGGACGACCGGACGCGTCCGGTCAGGACGATCTCAGCGTCCGGTCAGTAGCAGAATTGCGGGAGTTCGACCCCAACGGCTACTTTCTCAGTGGGGCTTATAAATACAACCCCCAACCGACCATTTGAGAAGTGTGGAGCTGAGGAAACATACCAAGGGTGTTGATACATCATTTTAGTGATCTCCACTTGCATAGTGCTTAGTGTTTCATCAGGTGATTAGCGTAGGTGCTTTGTGAAGTACTTAGGTTGATCAGACCACCGCTTATGCGCTTGCTCTAGGTATATGCCTAGTGTTTAGTGAGGTTTGCATACCTCTTACCACCTCGTGCTTGCGAGCACAAGAGTTGTACATCGGAGGGGCTTGAAGTCTTGTGAGATCGCACCAACCGCGTTTGTGGTGCGGCCGCCACCGTGTACCGAAGGAAACAAGGCCCGCGGCATTTCGGCCGAAAGCTTGATAGTGAAGACGGCGGGGAGCATCCGGGAGAGGCTTGCCGGAAGGCACGTCGGAGACCCACTTGCGCGTGGGGAAGGCCCGAGGCTATCCACGGAGTTACCCGACCGGGAGCTTGGCCCTTGCGAGGGATTCCTTGCGAGGGGCTCCAACGAGGACTAGGGGGAAGCTTGCGCGCTTCTCGATACCTCGGTAAAAATACCGAAGTCGTCGACGGGAGTTTGCATATCTCTACGTTGCTCTTTAAGCTTCCGCATTTACATTGATCATATTATTATCATCTGCAGTAGAGATAGCAACACACTAGCGAAACCGTAGTTGCACATCTAGATAGATTATCTTTTGCATAGGTTTTGCTAGAAGTAGAAAAAGAGGCCATAGTCGTGAGTTAGATTTTTAAGTTGCCTAATTCACCCCCCCCCCTCTTAGGCGTCCACGTGTCCTACAAAGATAATCAGAGCAAAAATCAACTAACTCTAGAAGATGAAGACGTCAATGAAGTTGATGTACAAAAGATGGAGAATGAAGACTCAATACTTAGACCTTAATCTAATTCGAGCAATAGAGGTCGACCGGATCGATGCAGCCGTACTTGAACTAGATAAGATCAATAACTAGCTTATACTAGAGCTCGCAGTGGAGGTCGAACCTAACCGATGCAGCTGTACAAACAGAAGTATAAGCCATGACGGTACTTATAGACAAGCCGGAGGTCGGCCGGACCGATGCAGCCCTGCTTGTTGAAGAACTCGTCGGAATCTACTCTACTCCTACTCCTAAGGATTGGCACGGAGCTAAAAGGAAAGTAACTTATATTGGTTGATTGGATGTCCTTTAAAATAGCTGAGGTCCAATATTTATACCTGGAGCCTAAACATGAATCCTACTCAATTACGACTCATTACAATCTTTGGTATAAAAGAAAATATTCCTAACTTAAGATAACTTGGACCCTAATCTTTCCCTTTTTGTAGAGTACGATATGTATTTCCTGACGTCAACCATGGCTCATTGTTGTTATCTGCTGACATCATTCGAAGAGAGCCGATTCCAGTGTCGCATCTGAATCAGCTGATATCAATCTTGGAAGTTTCGAGTTCCCGCGTTCTTCTTCCCAAATTTTGGTGTAAACACATGCCCCCCCCCCAATTTTGGGATAAAAATGATTTTATTCTAAAATTCCTATTTACCTGTTTACCACGTCGCAACCGTTTTATTCCGAGATATACGCGTGACTCCTGACTTTCCGGTCCAGGTCTTATATAATATCCCAATAGTATCTCTTCCAACTCACTCGGCCCATTTGCTTTCCCCTTCTTTTTCAAGCAAATCTTAACAGCCGACGCCGCTATCACCAAAGCCTCAACCCTAGCGAATCGTCTACCCTATCAAGCTTTCATTCAAGCGATCTTTCTTAGATTCAAATCGATTTTGGCTACAATGGTGACCAGCGACCACGTCCCTGAGGTATGCTTTCAAGTTCCCATTCTCCAAGTATCGGCCGCTTCCCAGCATTAACCTTCTTCTCAATTTTATTTTATCTGATTTCTAGGAAATGAGGACCAAAATCTTGATTCCATCAACTATTGCTCCCAATGTCTATTTTCTTGGGCCTATGGGTGACCTTGATCCATCTGATTTTATCTATCAAGAAACCAACCAAATCCTCTTCAAACAATCTGTAGTGGATTCGTCTTCCTGGAACACCAAGACTCCCTTCAGAAATTAGCCCAAAATGCCTAAGGGATGGAGAGACTGGTTTCGTAGGGAGTCTGAGAAAAAGGGTCGAGATTGAGAGCTTTATGATATGAATCAATGCTTGATACTTTCGTTGTCTGGGATGCAGAGGAATAATTCACTCATGATCTCTACATCTTATTTCTAGTCCAACACAATAAACACTTTTGTTTTTTGTCATGGCCCAATGACCATCACTTTGGCCGATGTTTATATGCTGATCGGCCTTAGAATAACAGGATCGATGCAGCCTTATGACTTCTTAAGTGCTGGATCTAAGAAATTAGCCAAAATATCAGACTACATAGGATGGGCAAGCTACATTCTGAACCATATTGGAGACGAGAATATATGGCATTTCTGAACATGTGGCTAGAGAGATTCATTTTCTGTGGGTCATCTTGTGGTCCGACTTACAATCATAAACTTATGGCAGAGCATCTGGCAATAGGCAAGGATATTCCTCTTGGAAAGTATCTGTTAAGAGTTGCTTATCATCTGATGCACTAGGTAGATGCCTAGTTACCGAAGAATGAACTAGTGCATACTATTAGTGGCCCTTGGTGGTTCATACAGTTATGGCTGAACCTGTATATGCATAAGATTGTAAGGCTAGATCTCAGAAACCTGAGCTTTTCTTCCTCCAACTTTGATGAGGAATATAGAGGCGAAGAAGGAAGAACACGTCAGTGCATGAGTTATGGTGAAACTGCATCGGCCATAACAATTGCTGTCGATGTTGGTCATCTCTTCAAAAGATTTTATAGATGGTTTGGCTACCCTATGATGAGGATGAGAACAATGAGCTGATCTTCCCATTCAAATTTCGATTTGAATCAGGTTGTTCAGACAAAACGGCGACCGCAATTTTTAATTCTTTCATCAAGCCCTGTGTTCTTCCAGCCGAGTTTCATCATGGCCACGGTAAAATGTCTATAGGTTCCTTCCTTCTAGGCAACCTTCTAACCTATGAGTTTTATAGCCCTTCTTTTGTAGCTCGTCAGTTTGGTCTTGGTCAACTGCCTCCTCAACTGTTCTTTAAAGATATACTGAGGCCAAGTGAGGGCATTAGTGAAGTAATGGAAGCCTCCAGAGTTTTTCAATTAGGATCAGATCTTCCTTCTCTTTATTTGCACGACTAGATAAGAGTCAACTTCTCTTCTAA